GAAGAATTCCATTTTTTTTTGTCTACACGTATTGACTTTTAGTTTCGTATAGCAAGTATGGCGGCCCCCATTAACAGAGGACATATGACATGATAATAACAATCTCTCGCCCTCAGACTGAATATTCTGAGCTGTGAAGACGCATAGGAGAATTAAAACTACAAAATACGAATGTGGATTATGTCATAGATACTTTACAACCATGCAGTCTGTGCTCTTTCATTTACACACGAAGCAAGGGAAACTTTTGACATTTTAACTGCACCAAAATTGAAATGTATATAGCGTTTCGATCCAGGAATAATACGGTACGGTACAGACAAGCTATATAACATTTTGGTTGTTAATAAATGTAGAAAACGTTTTTTACGAAGCTCACAAAGTTCTTTTTTCCAGAATGTTTCATCTTCCAACAACTTGTATAAAGTTTGATGTTAGAGAAAATTCGGTCGAACAAAGTTGTGTGATGAAAACGACATTATTTAAAGCACATTATGATGAATAAAACTGTTTAATTTAAATTATGAAGAAACATAAGTAATCAATTTGAAAAAAAAAGTGCTGTCAATGGTGATGCAGTGTTTGTTTAATTAAAATCAAATAAAAACACGGAATGTTTAGAGATTCATGATTTATTTTTTCAGGTATTTGGTGAAAGAATGTTATTAAATATAAATTATACCAGGGTAAGGGGGGGGGGGGGGGGGGGCTTGTCCAACAACTGCATCTGCTTTCAAAAGTTGTATTATGAGAGTAATGAGTGTTTTCTGTCAATCATTTTTGTCAAATATTTTAGTCCAAATTGTTAGGAAAAATTATATATTTTTTAGGAACATGTCGTCTGACCTTAAAATGAAAATTACCAATATTCATATATATTCATCATTTGTTCATGAACTACATTTTATGAATATATTCATGAATAAAGTTCATGAACCATCTTAATGAACCAGTCATGAACCATTCATGAATACATCATGAATGTTCATGAACGATTCATAAAAGTTCCTGAAATTATGAATTTCACCTCGCAGGGGTAATCGCCCATGAAAAATCATATTCCCCTCGGGGGATATGATTTTTCATGGGCGAAGAAATCTTCATGTCTCCCTCACCATCATGCAATAATTGTATAATATTTCACGGTCGTCGACATGATTTTCATCATGTTCCACCTGTTCGGATACTTAGTGCATTTTCCCGTAATAATTATCGTTCGTTGAAAGAAAACTCCCGAGAATAGTGGAGATCACAATAGCCTGATTTACGTCACAAAATTGATGATAAGTGCTCAATGTGCCAAAGGGTTTCGGTAACTTTACGTTAAAAATGAAAGTGAATTTAAGAGCGATTTAAAAGTTTATGTTTATTTCAAAGGTTTTGCTTGTTTCGGTAAAGTAAACAATTCATTGTATGAATGTTCGGGAAACATGAAGACTTATTCAGCCAAGAAATATCATATTCCCCTCGGGGGAATGATTTTTTTTGGCTGAATAAGTCTTCATATTTCCCTCACTATCATGCAATAAATGTATAATATTGTGTGAAAGATTTATTACAAGATGATGCATCTAGGGATGTACACTACCAGACTTGCTTCGGATGCTGGATCTGACCTACATTTACTAGATGAGAGACCAGGTTAAAGTTTTTGGAGCAGGTCTATTCCCAAGGAAATACCGGTATAAGCCCTACCTGGACCAAACTTGCATTGATGATGCATCTGGGAAAGGACACTACAAAACTTGCTTCGGATGCTGGATCTGACCTACATTTTCCAGATGAGTGACCAGGTTAAAGTTTTTGGAGCATGTCCATTCCACAGGAACTATAAGCCCTATTTGGACCAAACTTGCATGGATGATGCATCTAGGGATGGACACTACCAGACTTGCTTCGTATGCTGGATCTGACCTACATTTTCATTCCCAATTAACTATAAGAACAACATGAACCAAACTTGCATGGATGATGCATCTAGGGATGTACACTACCAGACTTGCTTCGGCTGCTGGATCTGACCTACATTTTCTAGATGAGTGACCAGGTTAAAGTTTTTGGAGGAGGTTAAAGTTTTTGAATCAGGTCCATTCCCAAGGAATTATAAGCCCTACCCGGACCAAACTTGCATGGATGATGCATTTAGGGATATACACTACCAGACTTGCTTCGGATGCTGGATCTGACCTACATTTACTAGATGAGTGACCAGGTTAAAGTTTTTGGAGCAGGTCTATTCCCAAGGAACTACCGGTATAAGCCCTACCTGGACCAAACTTGCATTGATGATGCATCTGGGAAAGGACACTACAAAACTTCCTTCGGATGCTGGATCTGACCTACATTTTCATTCCCAAGTATCTATAAGCCCTTTTTGCACCAAACTTCATGGATGATGCATCAAGGGATGGACACTACCAGACTTGCTTCGGATGCTGGATCTGACCTACATTTTCATTCCCAAGTACTTATACGCCCTATTTGGACCAAACTTGCATGGATGATGCATCTGGGGATGGACACTACCAGACTTGCTTTGGATCCTGGATCTGACCTACATTTTCATTCCCAAGTAGCTATAAGCCCTAGCTAAACCAAACTTGCATGGATGATGCATCTAAGGATGGACACTATCAGACTTGCTTCGGATGCTGGATCTGACCTATAATTTCCATACAAGAGACCAGGTTAAAGTTTTGGGAACAGATCAATCTGAATGAACTTGAAGCCCTTGATATCTGCAGTATTAACAGTTATGAACATTTGTTTACACTATACATGCGTATAAATGTGTATATGCCATGTAAGGGGTTAAACACAACTTGCAAGAATATTGTTGTATGGATGAATACTAAATATAAAGAAATATGATGTGAGATTTGCATTACTTAAACTGATAACATTTGTTGAGGTGAGCTTCGTAATCTTTGATTACCTGTGTTTTTTGATTAATCTGTTTCTTGTTATTCTTCCCGGTTGATAAGCGGGAGGGTATATAGTAATAGGTATGCCCGTACGTTCGTCTAGCTGTCCGTCCGTCTGTAGTATACGCTTTGGAGTACCCATCTCTTATCCGCAACTCCTCTCATACCACTGAATGAAATTTGATGAAACTTTCATAGAATCTTTATTACATATTGCTATTGTGCACCTCCTATTTTATTTTTTAATCCGAACATATTTTGGGTTTCCTACAGCAAAACATGGACACTTCCATTATATTCATATGGGAGGCAGGGGATATCATTTAGTGAGTTCATTGCTCACAGTGTCTCTAGTTTTCAATATAAGTCCTTGATATGTCACACCCAACGTGTATTAATTGATTGTCATGATGGGACAAACCGATAAATTCGCAGACAATAACTAACAAAAAAAACAACTTAGATTGTATTTGCTGATATTGTCCATATTTGACCACATAACTTGAAAATGATATCAATGCTTGTTGATATCAATTCCTATTTTATCAATATGCTTACTCAATGCCAGAGCTTGTTTCAGGGATAATTGTTTGTTATCTTTTTAAATTCATAATTTGTGTCATAATCCTCGTTATTACGACATGAAATTTAATAATGTGTTTCGTATAAATAAATGATGACCAAAAGAAAAAAAAAACAAAAAAAAAAAAACAAAAAAAAAAAAAACAAAAACAAAAACAATAATAAAAAAAAAAAAAAAATTAAAGAGAGTGTTAAAATATTGATATATTATAGCGTGGATTTCAGTCTAATTTTCTAGAAATTCATAAGAATTTATTATAAACTATCATACATATATACTAGTAATCGTAATATATATATATATTGTAAAACATCATGTAGAAGAAATGAAAGCGCTTATGTTTTACTCGTTCTCTGTGTTTTTATTTATTTAAAATAATTTTCATATATATATATATATATATATTTATAATATTGGCACTCGTTGGCTGTTCAAATGCACTCGCAAGCTTGTGAATTTGAACAACCAACTCGTGCCAATATTCATCAATATAAGTTCAATAACCCTATATTATTAAAAAAAAAAAACTACCCATAAAAATATAAAAAAATAAAAACATATTTTCCCCATTGCACGAAATCGATTTCTGAATATGCTTTGTATTATGTAATAAAGAAAAGGAAGAATTATAGTAGCAAAATTTGTTATCCATATTTTTTAAACAGTAATTTAATTCCGAAGAGGATGTTTTTCGGTACTTGTCTTACACTCTGCAGGAAGTATTACATCACATAAAATATCAAATATGTTTGCTTACGGCATAATGATCGTGTTCTTCGGGATTCATTTATGTGCTTTTTCTTATAATTACCGTAATCATGAGTCGTAGTGAATCATGATGCATCCTGAAATGATTTTGAGAGATTGAAAAAATTACGCAGATTTGTAAACAAATGCAGATCTTTTTCAAAAATATTAAGATTAACTACCAGGCTAAAAAATTTCGGTTTATAAACCCACAAGACTTGAATATCCTTTAGTTTTATAACTCCTTTACTTTGTTTCATTTTGTCATCATTGAGAAACAACAATATACTGAGCACTTCTTTCAGATGTCACGTACAATTCTAACACTTCTCATTTGGAATACCATCTGCATCTCCATTATTATACCATGATATTTATATTAATTGAAATCTACGATTTTTAAAAATATCTATAAATTAATTCAAACTTTATTTAATTGAATATTAATATTGAGACTGATTCAATATTGTTTTGCAGGAATAAAAAGAATTTTATAATTTTAGATATAGATATAGTTTGAAAGCTTTCTTCAATTTTTGAAAGTGTTATAAAGCAGTTTAAGTTGTGTAGATATTAAAACGTCTGATTTATTATATGCTAAGGTGATACATGTATCTCACCTATACGTAATAACAGAACTAGACCAATCATATTTGTTTTTACAATAATATTAACCAACAAATTCAAACATAAGGGTAACAGATACACTATAAAACTGCGGGGAATGTATACTCTAACTCACCTCTAGCTTGCCATTCAGACAGCATGTATTTCAACATTACTCTATATATTCTGTCTATATACTTCAGTGTAATGTGTGGTCAAATGACAACTAGTGCCACAGACACTGACTCGGACCTGTCCGCTAGACTGTCGATGTTGGAGAGAACTATGGGAAGAATTCTTACCTGGAAAGACCAGGTGAACTTGACAAACAACAGAACAACTCGAGGTAGGGCAACTTAAGGTCACAATTTCTGATTCTAATGAATTGAGAATTCATTTATTCGCCTCCGTTTTTCGTCCTTACAGAATAGGTATTATCAATCATAATGCACATAAACATTGGGGTTGGCTGCATTATCATGCAGAGATATTTATCTATTGAATAATTCGTTCCCTTAGTTCATTAAATAGATAAACAAATCTTCCAAAGTTAAATTCACTCAGTTAATTCTCGCCCTCATGATTAAATGTCAGTCCGGATGAATTATAATGTAATTACTAGTACGTCTTAAAAAGTATCGGAACAGAAATAAAAAACGACGACTTATAAAGTTGAATGTTAAAAGTTTGTTGGTATTCATTTATTTTTTATATATAAATCCTCAACAAAAGTCTGTAATAATTGTAACATTGCAACATTGCAACATTGTAATAATTCACTGCAGAATGAAAATCAATTGCCATTTAAGTGTAAAAGGTTAAGGTTACGAACAGTGACGAATCCCATAAATCCAATACACGATAAGAATCTTGAAAGTAGCAAAACATGGACCTCTGCAAATCTCCAGATGAGGAAACAAGTAACGAGGAGGAGTAAGCATCCTCTCATATGGAGAAGAGTGTTCATTCTGCTCAATTACATATCGGCCATATTGGAGATATAATGGCCACAGGTTCCATAAAGGTCTATATACACCCCTACTAGTGTTCGGAACCTTTTATTTTTCCGTGTTCTGCAAAAATATTAAACCCGATTAGTTCAGAGTAGCTCTGGCTGTGGCTAAGACGAGAGTTAGCAAGACTACAGTAAGCTTCGGTGAATTATTCACGGAAATGTGGCAAGGAAGTGATTAGCACGTGGAGGCATGGTAAACAGAAAAGTTATGTTGCGTTTCAATTTTCACCACCCTATAATATATGTAGAAATGTACTTCAGTCGATCTCTCTTGAATTCATTCAAACGTAAATAAGTTAATACAATTCTCTATGGTACAATTTTCTGCAGTCATGAATTAAGATTTCTTTTTTGACAAATTTTTGTGCATGGGAACCTGGACTATATTTTTGGCGTCAGATTAGCAAATGAGGCACCAATATGGCTTCTAAATAACTGACAAATCTGCTGAATTAGAATTGCATTATGGGTTACTATGAACACTACAGGAATTTTACGCTTGAGAAAAAGGAAAATCTTATGGCGATCGGAAAGGCTCAAAGACCATTTTTCCATCCATTTTGTAAATGACAAGCATTTTTAAAATTCTATTATTTAAATGCTTACACTGACAAACAATTCATTTGTTAAAAACGATGAAAGTTTATGTTTCTGAAAGTCAAACTGCAAAATAATTTACCTCTGTATTAATCATGTTAATTCCTTTGTTGTACTTTTGGTGAATGCATTTTATTGTCAGGTGGATTCCCTGGCCAAAACACATTATCACGAGTATAGTTATATAAAAACGTTTTGTCCATTTAAATGCATTTATAAGTTATGCTGATTGTTTTCCTTACTCCTGAAGCGCCAGTGTTCTGAACTAGACACAAACTACATTTTATTAAACATATTTTTTCCAGTTAACAGGAAATTAAAAACGCCCATGACATCTTGCATAGTTTAAAGTCTTTGTCATTTGGTCATAAGAACATTTATTTTGCAATCCATTGACATGATCATAGATTGACCTGAACCATGTGTTCTAAGTAAAATGTAAACATGTATTTGGCGTAAACGTTACTATTTATTCAACGATTTGTCAGTTGCTCTTCGTAAGATCCTCTGTGCGCATTAATAACAATAGCCATATAAGGCAAAGAAAGGTTCGTCAGTGGAGATGGTTTTGCACATTTTTTACTAGCGTATCGGTCGCTAGTGAGAACTAATTTTCGCCGTAAATCATGATAAGATATATAGTTGTTTTAACCCCTACCCTTTAGCAACCCTTAACTGTTGAAAATCATGAACGTCTTTCAGAAAGGTCTGGAAACATATTTTTCACAGGACATGTTTTCAAAAGAAACAGACTATATAGCAATTTCCTGCTTACTTTATAAAACTGGTTTTACCATATTACCTTGGAAACCAAGTCTCTTGTATTGAAATAAATAACAATAGTAGTGATGATATAGATAATGTAAAATAAATCGCAGATTTTTATGTAATGACTATTTCGGATAAAGTGTTTTTAGCAAGTCGACAGAGTTCTCCAATTGATTAATAGGTGCAGACGAATGCCCAGTTTCTTGAAATACAGATGATTTATCAGTTTCGACCGCCTTTTTAGTTTGAAAACGGCAATTTCTTGCATCTTTATGACCATGAAATAAAATGTTTATAATTCAATGCAAGGTTTTACATGCACCGATAAATGTATGATGGATTGTGTGTATTATCAAATTCAGCATGATTTTGTATATTATATAGGCATTCCTGTTTTCAACAACACACCGGTTGCCTTTTCTGCTCGGTTCAAAAATGACCAAGGGGGTATAAGTGTAGGATTCATTTTGAAGTTTGATGTTGTAATCACTAACCTCGGAAACCACTACAACCCGACTGATGGAATCTTCGTCGCACCTGTTCACGGAGTGTACATGTTCTACTGGACCATGCAATGCTACTATAGTGGAAGTACGCATTGCGGCACCGCCCTCAAAATAAATAATGTTATGAAAGGAAGAATACGATCAGCAGACGCTAATGGTGGTTATTACCATACTGGGTCCAACTCGGTGATTGTAGAGGTAGCTGCAGGAAGTCATGTATGGATTGAAAATGTTGACTGGTCTAGCGTCGACATGTACGAGTACTCATCCTTCGGAGGATCTCTCCTACTAATTCTATAGTAGTTCAAGCCGAAGTGCCCTATATGGATCCAACATATTTTAAGAAGGCTGGGTGTTTGTGGTCATTTCTAGACAATATTGATCTCTTTTAGAAGAAAAGCTCCTTATAAAGATATACAAAAATGATCAAATTTAAAAATTAAAATACATTAAATTTTTCTTTGCCAAAAATAGCTGACAGTTCAAGATATTATATCTAAAAAATCCAGTTATACCTGACGGTTAATTTGTCGACACCCCCAGCCTCCTTAAAACAAATATTAAAATACAAGAAACATTTTTAAGAAATCAATAATAAATGTAATGCCTATCTTCTTTGTCTTTCGTATATAAAAAGGACGTATTTTTTGTCTAACTTTATTTTGCTATTTATCAATAGGTTGAAAGCTAAGTATTTGTCGTATCCTGAAAGAAATTCAAGTAGTTTAAATGTTCATCGTCGCCCTATAACTATAGTTCTGCGGGAGAGATTATTACAGGTGACGTAAATTGAGTTTAAAATGAGGGCTTTAGATCACTTACTTAAAAAGCTCTTAAATATAGGGAACTCTGATTCTTTAAGTGGCGTCGGAATTTCATAAATATTAGGGATTCTGTAAAATATTACGACAGACGATGGACCAGATATGAAAGAGAAGACGTACATTGACACTTCGTCAAAATGGATTAAACGTATCAGACCCATGTTATAATCGCATATTGAAAGTTTGTAGGACAATATAAAACCATAGATCCTTCGCTTCTGCATTTAATAATCAAGTAGTGAAAAAATGATTATATAGATTACATGGTCAATATGTACTAGTCCCTCCTGACAAAGCAGGTAAAAATATTGTCTTCGTTTGTAAGGTTCATTTAATAAATTGTTTTTTTGAAGAATTTGGATTTTAATTCGACAAGTGGTAATCCAACTTCTACTCATAGTTACTTTTCTAAAGAAGAAATTCTTCAAAATAATACGTCAGTTTTGAATATCTAAATATGCTTAAAGTAACTACCAAATTGATTTTGAATTACTTAATTACAAATCTATATGGGATTCAAAAACTTCCTAAAATACTTACAAACAAAGATAAATAGCGAGTTCAGGTAAAGAAAAACTCAATCAACTCTCTCTATGTACTCCTCAATAAAGCCTAGGTCACACTGTAACAGTAATAGGCACGGATTGCAACGGTTCACCCCTATTTTATAAACTGTATGAAATTGTAATGATAATACGGTTTTCTGGCGCCAAAAATAAACGAAACGGTTGTTTCAAGATTATTCAACATGGTTTGGGCACGTTTTTATTAAGGACCAGGCTTTTCACACCACGGACAAGCACGGTATCCCGTATTAATACCTTATAATGCGACGGTCTCACTAGTAAACTATGTTACGGCTAATTATTCATTGAATCCTCATAAAAGTTAATCCATTTTCAAATAACTGTTATATATGAGGAATACATGCAGATGTGTTAAAAGCTATCGAAATTTATTCAATATTTCTATATCTATTCTATATTATCAGTTTAGTTTATTCACGTTTTGAAAGAAATAATTTCATGTACAATGTATTTTCATTCAACATTTTTCTGATTTATTCAGATTAAGTTACGTTGCCAAGACGCTCTTTCTTTAACTGGGTGTTGTAGCTAAAGCAAGTAGCTAGGTTTAGATTTAAATTGTCAGCGGAAGGCGGTAACCACTACTAAGTATCATTTGCCTCAATCCAAATTTGGTAATATCTCAAGAATCTAGAAATGATTTAATGGATGAAAAATATGGAGATAATGAACAGTTTTCAACCCCCAAAATACATTTAAACATACAAATCAGGAGCAAAGCAAATACGGACCTCTAATATATCAGAGATGGGATCAGGTGTCATGGAATAATGAGCAGTCCCCACCGACCAGTCACACTCGCCGTGTGCTAATTGAATTAATCGGAAAATAACGGTAAAATTCGTCGACAATTGGTTGTGGTCTTACAATTAGTCTAAAAAACCTTAATCAGCTTTTGACTTAATGATAGATTGAATTTGTTGACAAGGTCATAGTTTTGACTAGAGAACTCGAGAGATGATGACTTTAAACAAGGCTTTTGATATTCTTTTCCATCAACATGTTTGTCAATAAAAAGGGTTTTATCTTCGATATGATTTAGGACAAACACTGTGTTTTCGGATACTCAAGGTTTTCCTGCATGTCCAAGCAGATACAGGTCAGCACAATAGAACTATTAAGAGGTTAAATTTTAGTCAGGTCACAGTAAACTGTCAACCAGAAATCCAGAGATGAAACCTGAACAGTGGTATTTGTCAATTTTCTCTTCCTCGTTAAAATTAGAAATTTAGATAATCGTTTCATGAGCAAGATCTTCAAGGCAATAGGGTCATCTAAAAGTAAAATGTGAGAACGTTTTGTTTTCATTAGCTGTAATAGATGTGCTGCGGAGAATCCTTCCTAATACTTTCATTGTAACTGATTCATGTTTGTCATCAATTAAAGCGCATTGATACAATGGTTTGACAGCCATAGCGATGAAGGTCCATGAACAATAGTTTTCCATTCATTGAGGTTGATGGGAAGTTCTTTTTCAGTTTATATTTGGATGATGACTTTACACATCTTTCAGGTACCAGAGAAAAGGTGTCAGAAAAAAAAACTCTGAAATTATACTTAAATGAGTTGTAATTGTCCCCCGATGCAAGTAGTAAGATTATACCAGTATAAACTCATCATACCCAGACTGTTTTCTTCTTTCTTTTCCTTTTTCCGTATTCTCTGGCATAAAAAAATGTGCCACAACAAGGTAATTCTGTGTGTTCTGTCTGTTCAAATACAGGTGCAGATTTAGAAGCCGAATCCTGTGCTCATGGTCATGTGTACTGTCATGAACAAAATAATAACTGAAAAATAAATTGTAGCTATATTTTCCAACTGTAAATTTGCCGTTAAAACACGTAATTAGAAGTCAAACCCTTACTGCTGCCGTAATTACGACGTTCGAAAAAAATCGGTTCGCCGCCATTAATCGTTAGTCTCTGTATTGTTTCCTTGTCGTTTTCCCACTACAACCGAGACAAAATGTGCGGGGTTTACGGTTAGTTACGGATTATCTTGCATATTCGTATATTTTCCATTCTGCAGTCGTCGAAATCCTTGAGTAAACTTGCGTATCACGGAAGACCCCGAAACATCATGAAAGTCTATACAGTGGTCACATGGTGATGGTAGGCATACAGTACGGGATAACTACCATATACAAGTAATAGAGTTACATCGCGGTTTTCCATGACTGTTTTGAACAGTTCAAAACAGTCGTAGCAATTTACCGATCGTTCAGGAGTAATCCGAGTTGACAGGGCTTACCATGGTAATAATAAAGGACTGATTGCGGATGTCTAAGAATTTTCGAGGATCCCTAAATCGTAGCTTACCGTGATCTAAATTCGTGAGTCTGACGGGGCTTAAGATATAAACAGAAGTGAAGGAGAAACTCCAAGAGTTCTGTGCAACAATATATTCAAGAAGTGGTATAAATCAGATGTGGATACTTAGAAATTCAAAGTGAATTTTGGAAAATTTGAAATCACAAGATTTTACCAAAATCAACAGCTTAAAATCTTACGACTTTTCATTTTTATACACAACCATTCCCCACGATAAATAAAAGTCCAGACTTTTGGATGTCATTGACAGCTGCTTTGTCAATAAAAATTGAACTCGTTAATTCGCTTACCTTGTTATTGGTCATTTGCAAAATTATTTTGTTAAAACCATTCTGATTGTCCACATAGGTACTCTGAAAGTGATATCAAAAAGATGCTTGAGATTCTGATTGACAACAACTATATTGATGTTGGAGACCAGATCGTCCAAAAATTTACTGGAGTGCCTATGGGTTCCAACTGCGCCCAGTTATCAGCAGATCTATTTTTAAATTCATATAAAGCAGAATTTGTCCAAAATGTTATACGTAAAAAAAACACCTGTCGTGGCCTTCAACTCAACATTTCAACATATCAATGACTTATTTTCAGTAAACTAGGGTAATTTCCATTTTTATGTTAATACGAAATATCCCAGTGAGCTTGAGATAAAAGATTCCACGTGTACAGAGTCTGACACATTTGTTTCATATTTTGATATTTTTACTTTAAAAGACTTACATGGTAACAACCAAGCTCTTTGATAAACGTGATGACTTTAACTTTTCAATAGTGTACCTCATTTACTAATGCAGCAATATACCTTCATCACCTGCAGATGGAGTTTATATATCTAAGTTAATTCAAGAAGCAAACGGCATGCACTACGTAAGAATTATTTCTAAAACGAGGTAAATCATTGACAAACAAGTTGATGAAACAAGAATATCGGCAGTGAGTCAATGACCTTGTCAGCAAGTACAATATCATGGAGTCAAATGCTGACTGACGTTTTCATACTAATTGTTAGTCCATTTTTGATATACTTAATTGACCACGGAATTTCCTTTATTCCCCTATCATGACAAAGAACACATTTTTGATATACTTAATTGACCACAGAATTTCCTTTATTTCCCTATCATAACAAAGAACACATGGCGGGTATGACCGGTTGCCAGGTGATGCTCACTTCTCAATGGCACCCGATCACATCTCTAATGTTTCGGAGGTCCATGTTTTCTTTGCTCCTATTTTGTATTGTTTTATGGACTTCTGATGTTGAATATTGTTCGTTACATCCTTATTTTTGATTACGCAATATGTCACCAGAGTAAGTCATATGATCTAAAACATTTGCAAGCAACTTGTGTTTGTGAAACACTGATGTACCTGTATGACATCGTCGGAAACCCACGGGTGATCTCGTATTTACATATCACCCTTGGGCAAACTAGCTGGAATATTGCCGTAAAATATGCTAGTTTGTTGTTTTTAGTCAACCAATCAGAGAGTTGGAACTCTTCAATTTTGAAAAATTCGTTTATTAATTTGCTATTTATAGTTAATTTTTTGAAAATTTTAAAAAGTGCGAAGATATTATATAGGAGCACCTCTTTCTAACTACAAAATGCACCGGCGAGTGGATTTATCAGCTGTGTTAACTACGGAATGAGTTTTTCATGTTTTTTGCAATTCCGAACATGCACAGGTAACGTAAGTTGTTATTCGTTGTTTGGCATCGCGACTCTTGAAGCAAATGACCTATGCATATTTCATTACATCCGTCGATTTTCAGACGAGTTTGCCCACGGGTGATAAGTAAAGACGAAACCACCCGTGGGTTTCCGACGATGGTGCATGACAGCTTTTGCAAAAGTTGAAGTTTCTCAAATGCACGTTAAACTCCAAAGTCAAGAGATGAGAAAAAATGTT